TAGAATTTGATCCATGTTTTTTGTTGAAAATAATATTTTTTTGGGCCTGCAATTTAGAAATTATAAAATAATTATTATGATTTTATAAAACGTTTCAATTTGATTTTTCTTTTAAACAATCATCAAAATTTCATTAAATGAGGAGTATTTTCGTCTTTTTATAGTTTTTTTAATCAATCAAAAACCATATAATAAAAATTGTAGTTTACTTTTTCTAATTACATTTTTACCTTTTTATTTTTATTTCTTTATGATATTTTAAATATATGTATATACCATTAAGAATATTTTGTGGTTATCAATAATTTTAAAGAATTTATTTGATTTTTATTATTGTTAAAGTTAAAATCATTACGAAAACAATTAATAGAAAAGCAAATATCTTGATATGTTAATTAATAATTTTTTATCTATCAAAGTTTTATTTATTTATTTTAAATCATCATCATAAGGGTTTAGTAAGATTATGAAAAATCAAATTAAATATTGATGTTTTTATTAAATTTCTTTTACTCACAAAGTTTAATATTTTCATTTAAAATTTTATTTTTTATTAATTAATAATATTTATTTAATATTTAAATTAAAACCTAATATATATATATATATATATATATAATTTGGGTTCACGTGAGAAAACTTCTTTACACTTGAAACTTTACAGCAAAATGTTATAAATGTAAAAACTCATTTTCAATTATATATATATATATATATATGGGTTTGGATTTCTTTTGATTTAATACCAGGTTTCATTTGATTTGCTTATTATTCTTGATGAGTGCTTGATCTAATAAGATTGATCAACAAATTTATTGTTGTTTGATAATTTGTGTACAAAGTTGTTGTTTTACAATTTGTTTGTTCTCGTGTGATATACACTTTGCTCTAAGATTTGTCATAAACATCTTTTTTGTAAAATTTGATCTACAAATGTTCAATGTAAAACAAAGGGTAAATTAGTCATTTTTCATTATTCAATGAATTTACTCAACATAACTACCGAACAACAACTTATCAAATATTATACATACATATTTATCAATACAAACAACTTTATACATACAAGATTTAATGGAAAACGGATGAAGGAGTACATAAGTCAAAGATATCAATTACTACAATTTTAAATAACACACGAAATGTGATTTAATTGCAAAAGCTTCCCTAATGCTGATTTAAAAAAGAAGAAACTGTAATTACTTTATAAAAAATCAGTACATTTATTTTAAAACATTTCAGATCTGAGAGTCATTCATGTAACCAGAAATGGAATCAGGAAGCTTGTAGTTGGGTGTTGTATAGATGGTTGTCGCATGGATAAGCACATAAGATGGATCGTGGGGGATGCCATTAATTATGGTGTTGATAAACAACCTGATAAAATTAAAGTAGTTGCAAGACGACATTTAGATCCCACTTTTTATATAGGTTCTTGTAATGAAATGATGATTTTATTGCATATTAGTGTGTGTTGTACACAAAAAACCATGATCTCACATTTCGTTTGGCTTACAAAACTATGTATACATCTCATATGTTATGAAATCAGATATATGTTTCAGTATACAAAATTACAGTACTTATCGTAAGAAAACATGTTGAGAATATTCTTTAATTATATCTTATTTTATAGATTCAGATCGTATCTTTTATTGTTTTAAACAGTTGTACTCCTTGATTCTAACGTTTTTGACAAACTATCTTGTAACGGTATATTCATATATTTTAACTATAAATTTATTATAGATTTTAGAAAGGAAAAGAAATCCAAGATGGAGAAAGTTAGAGAAAGTGTTTCTAGTTGATATGTGAATGATTGCTACAAATGTCATTGAAGCACTTAAGAAAGTGTATGGCTAACAACCACAAGGGTGGTACCTGATTGGTTTGAGTCTGGCTCCAAAGGTAAAAAGTACCAGGAGGTCTCATGTTCAAACCCAAAGAGGAATAAAAATCCCCTTTGTGGCCACGGAGGTTCAAATGAGGTGACTCCGGGCTATCTGCAAAGCAGGTGGTCGTCCTGGGATTAGTCGACTCGCATATCAGGTTGGATATCCAGGTTAATAAAAAAAATGTATGGCTAAACCAATAACGAAAGTTTCGTAAGGGGACTGGAAAATAAAAAAACCAAATTCCATTCTCCCCCGACTCCATGTACGAATAAAGTGGGCCCATAACCATGGGTTCCAATGCACGAGATCTTGATGTGAACTATACGAGTTAGCAATAACATTGATTCCAACATTTATTCATTCAGATGTGTCAATTACAATAGTTGCGGTTAATAAGGTAGGGATAATCAAAACACCAAACCATACAATATGTAGTTGTATGTAAGGACGACCCCAAGGATGTGCCAAAGGGGCCGCCACACGGGACCTCCCATACTCGGGATCAAATCTTGTACTAAATGTCTTTTAATTATTTTGATTTTTATTAATTTCTTTAAAAAATAAAACATTTTTACAGATAATTTAACTGTATAATTTTTTTAGATAATTTTTTTGTTCTTTATGTGTTTATCAATCAATTCCTTCTCTAATTAATACCCAAAACGCCAAAATTATCAATTCTTTATTCAGTTTATTTCCATCATTGTCACCGTCCATGAAATTGCAGCCAGGTTTTTGGACTTTTAAATACAAATTTCATATAAATCGATACTTAATATTTTTCTTTATTTTTAATAATTTTCTTCTATAATATTATTTGATTATTTAATGAATGAGCACTAATTTAACAATGTAATAGTCGATTCGATTTTTGTTTGAATCTTGTTTATAATTATTTTATACTTCTACATATATTTTAAACTTTAACGATTTATTTTCAAATTTAATAATTTTTTAATAAATAATAAAACTTAAAAAAGTAATAAGGGTACATTTAGTTTTTTCACAAAAAATGGCAGATCCAAGAAGTCATATGATTTGGGACACATTAAAGGGGTATAAAAAAAAATTCAAACTCATTCACGATACAAAAATACATAAACGGTTAATCTGTTGAATATAAATACATGATTTTGTGCCTTAAAATGTATATAAATTTTATGGATTATCCAATACTAATTTTTACAAGGGTCGACAATCGAAATATAGTATTTGGAAAGTGATGCTCATTCACGATACAAAAATTATCTAAGTTATCTCAAACCAAAAACCCATGACTCTTCAACAATAAGCGGGTTGCGATATCACTGAGTGACTCGTCATGAGAAAAGGTTGGGAGGCATTAACAAGAAGAGGATGGGGCAAGAACAATAAAAAGTTATGGCAAATACGAGATTTAAGGGTTTAAAAAATAATTCACAACTTCGTTCACTTATTGATGGGGCATGGCCCCCCAAACACCTGAAGGGTGCATCCGTACAAAATGCTAGGGTCGGCCCTGACTGTATGTTCTTATTTATAATCTCATGTACACTATCTACCCTAAGCACCTTCAATTGAGCCACTACTGAACTATCATCAAGAGGGAAGAGTTTCAGTCTTAGAAAGAGGGTTCACCAGACAGGGACAAACCTGCTAAGACGGGAGCGGGCTTCCGTACACCCGCTCACTCAATTATGCCAGAGAAGAAAAATCAGACGTGCACCCGATTGATTTTGATGGACACCCTTAAATACTTTATAATCAAATCTATAACATAAATTAAACACGGGACAGATAGTTGGATTAACATTTTACATGCAAGCGATCGTAGGTTCGAATCTTATTTTAAGTAAAATTTTAACTTTAAATAAATAAACGAAAAATTAAATTAATTTCATGGCTAGGACCATCAAGAACAACATTGCAAGTGGTAGTTCGGACCATGTGGCCGACAATTTCACAGAGGGGGTGGGATTAATGGTGTCAAAAAACACATCATCAACATGGCTCAGTCACTATGAACAACCATGGTGGTGGTTGGTGATGATGGTCCGCCGGTGCGACTGAGGATTTCATAGGGGGTGGTGGCAAACACACTAACACGTATCATCAACATGGCTACAACCACCATGAACAACCATTGCACGTGGTGCTCATTAAATAAGCAATTAATATGATATTATGACCAATGAATTCCAATGAATTGAGGGGACTTTGGGTATTCAACAACTCTTACTTTTAAAGAGGCTTTGTCATAGCAGTATTCTCGTTATTGATAGAGTCCAATTTTTTAGGAGGTTAAAGGTTCAAACCTTACGAAAGTGAATTAAGAGCATACATGAGTTAAATTATTGTATATAACTACTAGTTGTGTATCCGTGCAATACGGCGGGAGCCATGAATTTTAACGATTTTGAAGTTTCACTGGTTTTACTAGAGAATATTTAACGATGATATAAGTTACATTTGGTCTTTACATATTAATACAATTTGAATAAATAAGAGTTATGGTTCCAACTACAGTCTATCGATGAAAAAAATTGTATGACAGTTTAAAATCCAATATATTTAAAATCCAACATATTTTAACGAATCCACAAATGTGTTCGATTTACACCAAGAGCAAAGAATCAAGAGATCGAGAGCGAGACCGAGAGTTCTAGAACAATTGAATGTGAGATGAATGAGATAACTTTGAATAACTCATGGTGAATATAAATTTGAATCTCACCTTGGAGGGTGGAGATAAGACATAAAAGTATGAGAGAGTGAATACATGAGTGAAATGTGTGAAAAACATATTGGGAACATGAAAAAAAGAAAGTAATAATGTGCATTGGTAACTTGTACTATATGTTATTTTAATTGTAGATTAAGAGATTTTAAGACTGAATGCATAAAGTAGTAGTACTTAATGCATTATGAGTTGTTTTTAAGACTTTGTGCATAAATATATAGTACTTTGTGCATTAAAAATTGTTTTTAAGACTTTTGATAAATCTGATTTATAAGGTAGTATAGATTTGTGTACTTCAAGAAAAAAATTATCTGGTACTTAAACTTGTGTGTTCTTCAATATTATCTTTTTATTCAGTTAAATAAAACAAAATGTATAATTTTTCAAGACCTTTATGAAATATATCTTTTTAGTCACACATAATCAAGTCTAACTGAACCAAAATCTTTTAGGTGCCACCAATTGAAGCCGCAATCTTAACCAGTAATCCAAACAGCGCAAAAGGACTAGAGAAATTCGGGCTGTGATCACTCTCCAAAACATACACTTGTGAAGGTGTCCATTTCGCGATCATATTGTCTTGTTGCTCAGGTTTGATCACTCTATCATACATTGTTTTAATGTATACCCTCGGCACCTTTTCTACATCTTCATTTCCTTCTGGGAACTGAGCGCTTTGTATTGCATAAATGGGCCCTGGTCGTAACAACATTGAAGCTAACATGTAGTCCTACAAAATACATGTTGATTAGTAGATCATTCACCCTTTCGGTTTAAATCACTTTTAGGTGCAGTTTTGTTGGATCTTTTATAAACGCCGTGTATTTTTTAATACATAATAAAGTTAGTACCTCTGGAGGGCTCATATGATATAGTAGTTTACGTTGTAGCTCCTTTTTTACGGTTCCCGTTGTAGGAGGTTGAGTTGAGCCTAAGCCAAACTCTAGGTCATAAGCATCACCATATTCAGATAAATCAGGTGCTCCCTGTATGTTACGAAAAAAGCAAACAATAGATTCTGTTTCAATAAGAACAACAAATAACAAATATTTTGAGAATCAAATATATCATTTTTAGTATGTTGAATATATTTATTGACATAATACAATACTCATTGGTAACATACATATTTTAATGAGATTTATATAGCATTATATTAATCAATTAATATACACTAATATAGATTATCTAGTTCTCAACTTATTTACGGTTCTTAAGTATCACTCTCATAAAACTATACATGCACACACTCACACACACACACATATATATACACACACACACACACACACATACATATATATAAATGCTCAAACAAGAACATGATCAAAATAAGAGAACACAAGAATAATCAAATCACATGTAATTTTATACTGAAATCATATATGATTAAGGTCTGACATTGGGTTGTGACCTAGGTCGCGGATCAAGTCGTCGAGACACCCTTACATTAACCGTATTTCGTAGTCATATGTAATTTCAATGTAAAATCATGTGCGATTTGACAATTTTTGTATTTTCTTATTTTTATCATGTTCTTTTTTAAATTACTTATATATATATATATATATATATATATATATATATATAGGGTGGTTCAAATACTAACCCAATATTTTG